TCCAAGACGGTGGCGCAGATTGATCGTGTACGGGTATCTGAACCTGGCTGGGTTGCTTGTCAAATTCAACACTCTGTTGCGCTTATTTCCACACCTGAAGAACTTTCCGATCGAGATGTCTCCGATCATGATGCCGTCAGAGTTACCCTGTCCAACAGGCGGCAGCGCAAGAAGTACGTCAAAACGGTACCCCCAGCCATCTACACGTCCGTCGGCTTCTGCGAACGACTCGGGCGTCTTCTCGATTACGAACAGCACACCTTTTGTTCGCTTTCACCGCCGCGTCAGATGGAACGCTATGAGGAGTTAGTCAATGTGGCGGCCCTCGACTCGCTTAATCAGCTGTTGGTTGACGATCCTGGTTCTCTTGAGGCGCAGCGGGTGTTCGCTCGACAGCTTGCTAGGGCTGTCTGGCGCCAAGACACACGGCTGGCCATGCGAGTGTGCAACGCCTCGGAGACTGCGCGAGGCTGTATCGAGATTGTCGGCCCTCGAGTGCAGCTGGTCCAGCCGGCTGTCTTTTCGGCATGGGTCAACTCTGTTCAACTTGCGGCTGCTGATCATGATCTTGAGGAGCTTCGGCATGCGGCGCTTCATGCTGTAGGACGGGCTCGGCCCTCTGCTGGGGTCCTTTCTGCGAAGACTCGCAAGGCGCGCTTGTGGGCACCGTTTGGCAAGAGCCTAACGCTTCGGGCCATCTCCGTGGACAACTGCGCGCGCACCGATGTGATGGCCAAGTTGGACGCGTTAGCAGCGTATTGGGCACCTATTTCTGCACAACCCGCTGTGTATCCCAGAGCCACGCAAGTTTACTTCGACAAGTTTGTGCAGCCTGGACAATATGATGATATCCCACCTCCGACACGTTCGTTACTTGGTCGAGTTCTGCGACGGCTTGCACCGTCATGTTCTGCGCCTGGAGTTGATGGCCTTCCTTACTCGGCGTGGGCTGCGCACCCTGTGGGCGGTGACGTGTTGTGGAATGCCTGCACGTGGCTGATGGATGGACAACTTCTCTTTTCAAACACAGGTGACACACTTCAGGCTTTTCTTCCCAAAGGTAGTCAGGTAGGTGATGACGATAGCAGGGGAGCCCTGCGCACACCTGATACGGTGAGGACACTCGGTCTGCGCAACACGGACATGAAGGTCATTTCGGCCACTTTAAACCAGGCCATTGCTCCTATCATCCAGATGACGACGTCGGCCACGCAGAGGGGCTTCATTGCTGGGCGGCAGTTTACCTCCAACATCTTGGAGCTCGACATGATGGCGCGCGTGGCCTCGCTGCAGCCAGTGGTGCATGAGCGGAACCCCTTGCTTGTCGCGCTTGATTTCGGCCAGGCGTTCCCGTCCTTGAGTCAAGAGTTTCTCTTCGCTGTCTTGAATTGTCTTCGCCTGCCGTGCGGTCTTCATGCTGCTATTCGCGGTCTGCATTATGTCGTGACTGCCGTCGGCCGTGTTGATGGGATCACCAAGCCGCTCTTTCGTATCTTTTGTGGAATTATTCAAGGCTGTGCGCTCTGTGGTAGCCTGTTTGCAGCGGCAACTTCACCATTCTTGGAAGATATCAGGCGTGGCCTTGAAGTCCCAGCCCGTGGTGTGTTTCGTGCCTGTGCTGACGATATCGGTGGCGTTGTCTCTGATATGATTGACCTCGAGTTCTGGGCTCGGGTGATGGCGGTTCCAGAGAAGTTGGCCAATCTTAAATTGAAGCCGCCCAAGTGCGTCCTGGCGCCGCTTGCTGACGCTTTCTCCGAGACCATCCAGGCCAAGACGCAAGCCTTTCTTCAGCAGCACGTTCCTGGGTGGGCGGCATTCAAAGTGGAGGCCATTCTGTCGTACTTGGGTGTCTGGCTCGGGCCTGCTGCTGCACCTATGAGTTCTTGGACTGGACCTTGGGCCAAATACAAGATGCGAGTTGGTGCGTTGGCTGCTTCGTCCGCGCCGCTGTCGCTGAATGCGTTGAACTACGTGATCCGTGCAGTGCCGACACTGAGCTATGTAGCGCAATTCTTCGCGCTCCCCGATGGCATCCGCAAGTTCGACATACACGTACTGGTTCGCCTGCTTCGCTTCCCTGGTGGTGCCTTGCGGCTTGTCGACTTCTTTGCGCTGAAGGACTGGGGTGGGCCTAAGCTTCGCAATATGGTCGCGATGTCGGAGGCTGCGCTTATTCGCTTCTGGGTTATCCACGCATCCTGAGCACCAAGATTATTTGCGACTCTTCCGACGTGCGTCAGAGCGGTGGTTTATTCATCGTCGGCTGGTTGACCTTACAGGCAGCCTCTCGCTTCCTTTCTGGATCATGCCGTCTATTGTGGAGACCCTGGACGCTGCCTGCTCATCGTCCTCCCCTTCGGCGGTGGCTGCTCGGGCGCTTCTGGTCGAACATCCTGAAGCGGCTAAAGGTGTCCAGCGTGCCGCGTACAACGCCAGCATGTCCGCCTTCTTGTCCAGGTTCAGCGTCCCTGGGGGGTGGGGGGGAGCCATCGCCCTTAGTTGCTACCATCTCAAGACGGTGGGCCAAATGGTTTCCATCTTTGGCGGTGCAGTTGGACCAGATTGATTGGCCTCGATTGCGCAAAAAGCTTCGCGAATACCCTATGGCATGGGCCTCTTCGATTTTGCGCGGCTACGTGGGGGGCTGGCTGACTTCCTCACGCATTTCGTCTCCTACTGGGCAGAGAAAGTGCATTTTCGGCTGCGAAGGTTGCCTTGATGAGCTCGGACATTACCTACAATGCCGAGGTCTCGCCTGGGGCATTGCGATGGCGAAATCAGGCGGGCGTCGATATCCTCCTGGATCCGTGCTGGCGCGTTGGGGACTTTGTGAACCGAGTGACGACAATTTGGTCAACATGCAGCTGGCAACAGTTATTTACCATGATGCGCGCCACCGTGACTACGTTCCACCTGAAGATCTGCTCGCTGCTGCTCGGGATGCCCTCCGTGCTCGGGCTCTGGCCAAGCCGCATGCAGGGTGGACGCCAGCACCTGAGCAGCCCCGCGCTGCTCCTGCGTCGACGACTGCTGCGCCGTATGCTCAGTGTGTGAGGTCGATTGTTTCCGACCTGGCACTCCCTGATGCGCTCCTTCGTGTGCGTCCGCTTGGTCAGGCTATGCTTCATGATCGGCTTCCTCATCGAGTGCGCTATCCACAGGCGGTTGGTGAACGCCAGTTTGGCGTGCCACCTTTGTACGGAGTCTACCCTGGCATGGCTAACCTTCTCGCTGCGCTGTTACGTCGTACTGCCTCGTGGGCACGTAATTGGATACCCTCTGTTTTTATGCGGGCCATTGGCCGCTCGGACTTCGACGATTGGATGGAGTGGTGCCCGAATCAGGTTGCTCTCATTTTGGACTTCAGGATCTTTCAAGGTGTGTTTCCCGTGCCGCATGTGGATCGTCATTACCGTTACGAACTTGGGGTGAGCATCGCACATATCTCGTGGCGCAATACGGTGCACTCCAGGGAGCGGCTCTTGGTGCACTTGACGAGATCTTGGGCCAACGAGGTGCTTCGGCAACGGGCTATTGAGCACCGCGGGCATGAACATGTTCATCTTCGGCAGTGGTGCCCTCGGCAAAGAGTCCTGGAGATTTCCTCCTGGGGGCGATTGGACATGGCTTCTCCTTCGCCCTGGTGCGCGTCGATTATGACCATCGGACCTGAGCATCCTCATCGTGGTGGGCCCCCGTCACCCCCTGCTGGTCGCTTTCAAGCCCATGCGATGCATCGTGCTTTGGTAGATCGTGTCGCGGCTTGGGCAAGGCAATGGGTTCCCTCCATCGTCGTCGTCTCGATGGGCAGCGATTTTCAACAGTGGATGGATTGGTGTGTGGAGTATGTTTCCGATGTCTTGGGGCATGACGGATTTCGTGATCTGCTGCGTTGCCCTGTGGGAGCTGCCTCGGATCAAGCCGTTCGCTGGGAAGTTGCCACTGGGATCTGTATTCGGGGATGGTACGACAGCGCCCAGCCCAGGGAGGCTTTGCGTACTTCCCTTTCTGAACAGTGGCTCGCACGCGACGACTTGAGGATCAGTCAGTTACGGCGGTGAGGCGTGCAGCACCTTCGTCAATTGGGCTGGCTGGCCAATGTCACCCGCATGCCGCCAGAGGAGCGCCACCTCTTTGAGCAGGCTCGGGCAGCCCGGCCTCGCGGTGAGCTGCCTGCTCTGCTTCCTCATCTTCACCCTCAGCGTTATCTACAACATGGTGCAGTGGTGGGTACTTTCGCGTCTGGGAAGCCCTTTCCAAACGACTCCAACAACAGCGTGGATGGCGATGGCTTCCCGAAGCCTACGGACGTGGACTTAGAGATCATGGCAGAAGGTGGACACAATGCGAGCTCGGGCGATGCGGAACCTCCCCCCCCAGGTTGTCACGACGGTGCCGAGATGACCGCGGCTGAATATACTCATCATTTTGGTCCCATTCTCACTGACGAAGAATTTGTGCGCCAAGTTCAAGAAGCGGTTCGGGGATCTCGCGAAGAGCATCCTCTTGCTGATCGGGATCCTACGGCCGGGTCGTCAACAACGCCATTACCTGCGCATGACGAGGCCCTGTCGCCAGTGGAGCCACCCACACCACATACGCAAGATGAAGTGCCTGACTCCAGCTCGTCCGATGGGGACTTCGACCGTCTGATGGCTGAGCACGGTTTTGGGGCTATTTACCCCAATGGGACTGTGGGAGGTGCCTTAGCTTCTGCCAGTGGTGGGACTTCAGGTGCGGAATGGCACCCAACACATGCATCGTCACCCCCACCTACTGTGGCAACGCCTCCTGACCTGCCTGCTGATGATGTTGTGCCGACCCCTGGTCCTGTGGACGATGCTGGTCGGCTTCCTGCTTTACGCTCGGTCAGCTCTTTCGTCTACGCTGTGCTGGCTGCGTCTGGCACGCAATGTGTTCCTGGACGTAGAGGTGTAGAGTCTCTCTCGACTGACCAACTCCAACGGGCGATTGACCATCTGGATGCGAACTACGCGATGTCAGCGGAGCACAGGGAGCTGGTCATTTGGATGCTCAGCCATCCGTCCGCGCTCTTGGAGGATGCTGATGAAGAGCATGGTTTTCCTCCCTTCGGCCTGGATGTGGTATTCGACGATGGCTCTCCCGCAGACTTCGACGAGTTGATGCTTGCTGAAGCTGTCGCCGCACCTCACGACATGATTGAGGATCTGCCGCAGGACGCCATGCTCTCGCTGTTGAGTCCCGACTCGGAGTCGGATCAGGAGGATGTGCACGCGGAGATCTTGGCCCAGGCAGTGGCTCCAGAGCACTTTCATGGAATACACGACCACATCGATAATCGCACACGGTCTGACGATGTTCCTGGTGTTCCTCATGTGGCCCACGACACTGCCGCTGCGTTCTCGGTGCACTTTGTCCCCGCTCAGGATGCCCCTCAACCTCATCCTGAGCCAGCTCTTCCATGCTCTGCGAGCTCTTCTTCTCACGGACCTGACCAATCTGGGCAAGCTGACGATATATTGCATGAGGCACTGCCTGCGGAAGCGCCTGCTGGACATGCAATACCTTGTCAAGTTGAGGAGACAGACCCCGTGCATGCTGGGGAAACTGAAGGGCTTGCTGCACTCGCTCACTCTGTCCTGGGACTTCGCGGTCATGAACCGATGGATCGAGCTGAGCTCATGCAGCAGCTTTTCACTGTTCAACACGCGCTTGCAGCGGGTGGTGCCGCGTCTTTGCTTGGTGAACACAGTGGACACGTTCCTTGGATTGGGGAAGTGGATTGGGACTTGTTAGAACCCAACACGATTCATGCGGTCAATATTTTGGTTCCTGCGATCCTGCCCAAGACCCCGAACATGCCGAATGGATCTGCGACATCCTTGTGCTGGTCTTCGTCTGCGCTAGCACTTCAGCCTGAGCGACCGCCTGGACATTGGCAGTACCATCTTGCGACATTTGCAGAACTGTCGGAACCCCAAATTGAGCAAGCTCTGCGACTACTTCACCATCTATTTCCTAGGTTGACGAGGGACAAGTTCTTTGAGATCGGCTGGATGCTTCGTCACCCTGCTGCTTTTCTTCTCCCTGTTGTCGAAGGTGAAGGCCCTCATGATCTGTATGCTGGAACAGTGGAAACTGAAGCTGGTGTGGACACCCTTAGCTCTGGCTGTGGTGGCAGCCTTCCATTGATTGCGACAGTCGTACCCCATGTGTCTGATGATGTGCCTGCTGAAGGTGAAGCTGATGATCTCCCTGGAGGTGGCTGCCTTGGTCACGGAGAGGCTAGACCTGCCGCTGAAACGCCTGCGCTTCTTCCTGGCGGTGGTGAACATTCTCCTCGTGATTGTGTGGACCATGGGCGTTCAGGTCGTGTCCAAGTACCTCTAGCGGAAGACGCTGCACCTCAAGGGGAAGATTCTGGCCACCAAGGCGCGGCCCCTCTCGACAGCGACTTCAACCAGGAGCCCTTCACCGAGGCGGACCTGAGGACAGGCCCCGCAGGGGCCGACGGCGGCGGCGGCGCGGCCAGCGCGGCCTAGACAGAGACGCGCGCCCTTCAGTGGCGTGGGATCCTCCTCCTCCTCCTCCTCCTCCTCTCCTCCTCCTCCTCCTCCCCCTCCTCCTCACCGCTAGATCCCGTCCTTCTGCATTCGTCGCCGAAGTCCGCTCGGCGCCTCGCTCGGTGCGACAACCTGGGGGCGAGAGCGCATCCAAGGCGCCAGCGCGGCCAGGACCGCTTCAAGACCGGGCGGCCTCGGGTTCCCCGCCCCCCCTGGTGGGACTCTTCTGCAGTCCCTCTCCTCCTCCTCCTCCTCCTCCTCCTCCTCCTCCTCCTCCTCCTCCTCCTCCTCCTCCTCCTCCTCCTCCTCCTCCTCCTCCTCCTCCTCCTCCTCCTCCTCCTCCTCCTCCTCCTCCTCCTCCTCCTCCTCTCTGGTGCCACTGTGAGAGCCTTCTGGCAAGCCGCTCTTAGGGAATCGCGACGGACGGCTTCTGATTGTTTTCGGCCTCTGGGGGCCTTCGACGGGCCTAAGAGCGACTCGGGATGAGACGCCGGCCCCGGGGAAGTGGTCGAGACCTCCAGGGGTCCCCGTGACGTCAGGAGCCTTGGGGTGGCGGGGGGCGTCGGAGATGCGTGGACGGCCTGGCAGTGGCAGTCTGCCGGACCCCTGCGTGAAGCGGATGCTGCAGCCACCACGCGTGCGGCCTCGCGCGATGGCACCACGGAGCGGGGGTTGACCGCCAGGGGCGCGCGCGTGAGTGTCTCGTCGCAGGTGGCGCGGTCGCCCCAGGTGGCCACACCCCACGCCGGCACCAGCTTGTCCGTGCCCTCCGCTGGCTCTGCGAGGCGGGCGCCAGGCTCGGCGGGGCCCGACGGTGCGCGCCCCAGGCACGCCCCTGGAGGTGGTCCTGGCTGGCCTCGGGCAGTCCGGGGCGGTCTCGGCACGCCCTCGCCGCCTCCGGGACTCTCAGAGTGCCCCTGCGAGCCGACGTTGCGGCAGGGTCGCGGCCTCGCGGGAAGCCACGAGCGGAGCCCCACGGGCCCCGTTTTCTTGCGATATCCTGTTTCGAGCCGGATCGAGCTGTGCAGGCCCTAGGGCCCAGCACCGGGCGAAAACGCCCGGCGTGGAAGCAATCGCAACGCCCGGCCTCCTCCTCCTCCTCCTCCTCCTCCTCCTCCTCCTCCTCCTCCTCCTCCTCCTCCTCCTCGTCCTCC